AAGATAATTAAATATAAAATTCGCCCAATAAATGGTGAGAACCTGCCTCTTTTTCTCCTTAGTTTGAAGGATACAAGTTGCCAGACTCCGCACTACACACTTACACTAGAGGGAGTTTGAGAATATCTCTTAAGCCCTGATGAATTCTGCACATAGTAATGGAATAAAACAGCCAAATTTTGCTACCTAGAAGCCACCAATCAATAAGCCTTGTCCAGAGACTATTTTAATGCACTGCCCTTCAAATATAAACCAGCAGTCAAGGATCAGGAGACATTTAACAAAAGCATCTAGCAACACAAGATTTTTCAACCTCAGCACAATTGACATATGGGTTGGATAATTCTTTTGGGAGATGTTTGCAAGGAAGGCTATTCTGCACATTGCAAAATGCGTATCAATATCCCTGACTTCCACTCACAAAATCCCAGTAGCACCCTACTCCATCGTGACACCTAAAAATATTTCTATATATCACCAAAAATATCTTTTGAGGATAAAATATCTACAAACCTCTCATACAGCTGAAAATTACTTGTTGAGCAATGACAAGACAGACTAATTCTAAAACAAAGAAATGTTTAAAAGGGATAATGTTAGAAGAATAATATATCTTTGGGGGGAAATGTAATTAAGCTTTGATAGATATGAGTAGCTACTGTTTTAATAAAACAATAATAAAGTGAGGCTACAAGCAGTTAAATTCAAGCAATAAAAAAGATAGGCCTTGGAAATTAAAAATATAAGGGCAAAATGGAAAATGCAATAGAAGTATTAAAAAGCAAAATTGGGGGGAAAAATCTACCAACTGGTAAGACAAAGTCACAAAAAAATGAAAAGGGGGAGAGAAATTAATAAAATGGAGGGGTCATTCCAGGAATCCAGCATCCAAATAATACTTTTTCTAAAAAATGAGTTAAGAGAAAAACAGTGGGGAATAATTACCAAATAAGTAATTTAAGACAATTTTCATGAACTGAAAGAAAGAAGACTCCAGTAGAAAAATGTCCTTTAAATATCCAGTAAAAGCGGATTAAAGACACTTACCTCTACTTTATCAATGTAAACTTTAAGGAGAAGAACCTTAAGATTCCAGATCAAAAACTAGGACACAAAAGACGAAATTAGAATGAGAAATTAATAAAATGGAGGGGTCATTCCAGGAATCCAGCATCCAAATAATACTTTTTCTAAAAAATGAGTTAAGAGAAAAACAGTGGGGAATAATTACCAAATAAGTAATTTAAGACAATTTTCATAAACTGAAAGAAAGAAGACTCCAGTAGAAAAATGTCCTTTAAATATCCAGTAAAAGCGGATTAAAGACACTTACCTCTACTTTATCAATGTAAACTTTAAGGAGAAGAACCTTAAGATTCCAGATCAAAAACTAGGACACAAAAGACGAAATTAGAATGGCATGGGATTTCTGTTCAGCAATCATAAAGGCTATAACATAATGAAGAATATGTTCAAACATCTTTAAAAACAATAGCAAGTGTTGACAAAGATGTGAAACTACCAGAACTCTTATACATTGCTGGTGCATATGCAAAAAGTCATAGCTACATTGAAAAACAGTTTTTTCATTTCTTATAAACTTAATTATAAACTTACTATAGGCTCAGCAATTCCATTTATAGAGAAATAAATTAAATAAAAGCATACATTTACACAATGACTTGCATGAAAAGTTTGTTGCAGAATAATTGATAAAATTCCAAAACTGATACAAATCATTTGTCTATCAATTGGTGAAAAAATTACAGTATATCCATACTAAGAAATACTACTATCCAACCATAAAAGGAGCAAAATATTAATATACACACTAACAAATCTCAAAACAGTATGCCAAGAGGAAAGATAAGAACAAATGTCTATGTACTGTATGATTTCATTTATATACAATTCTCAGAAAGGCAAAATAATTAGTGATCCAAAGCACAACAGTGGTTGCCTGAGGTTTAGCTATGGAGGGGCTTGAGAAAATGTGCTAGGGTAATAGAACTGTTCTGTATCTTTATTGTAGGGATGGTTACATAACTGTGTACATTTGCCAAAATCATAACACTACCCTTTGAATTACTGAATATTATTATCTGTAAATTATGTATCAATAAAACTGGTTTGAAAAGAAAGTTCAGGGATCAGCAGTTGGCATAATGGCTATGTCATTGGACTCCCATGTAGTCGACTGTGGTTTGAGTCCTGGACTTGGTGACTTAAACTCATGCTGAGCGTGTGTGCGTGTGTGCCCAAGATCCTGAGAGGAGAATGGAGGAAAACGGATTGCAGCATGGCCATTCTCCCCGGGATGGTGAGTTCTCACTTTCTGTCTCTCTGTCTCTCTCCATTTCTTGTAGCAAGCACACACACCCTATAGCAAAAACCTCTCCAAAAAAAGAAAAAAAAAAGACAATGCAAAATTTAAAAATGATTGTCCACTGCCTAGAATTTTATACCTAGCCAAACTACCATTCCACTATAAGCACAAAGATAAATACATGTTCAAAACTGGAAAAATTGAGTATTTTCTGGATATCTTTCCTTAGTAGGATCCCATAGATATATTTTATCAACATGATAAAGTTAAGAAGAAAGAGGAACATATGAGATACAGAAAACAAGAACTCCAACATTGGAGAAAGTTTAAGCAGCTGCTTGAAGGATAATGAATAGAGGCATTTCAGAATGAAATCTATGCTGCAGCCCTATTGGAGCAAGAAGATGAAGGAATGCATCAAAAGAAGGAACAAAGGTAGGAAGGATAAAGGAAGGAAAGAAAGAAGGAAGGAAGGAAGGAAAGAAGGAGAAGAAACAGAGGAAGGATAGGAAGGAGAAAGAAAGGAAGGGAGAAACTACAGATTACTTGAGGCATTTGACACTTATTAAGTATTAATACTTAAGTGTATTAAGATACACTTTTGATAGAAAACATAGCATTAAAATAGTTGTAAGTACACATAAAACACATTAACATAGAAATAATAATGAAAACACCAAAACATAGATTATATTGAGAGAACAGATAAAGAGAAAGATGGGGAGAAATAAATCCTCATATTTCATTTAGGAAGTAATTTTATGATAGCTAAAACCAAAAAAGAAAGAAAGAGGTCTATAGGCATGTTTTGGAAATATGGAGGCAAGTGATCAAAAAGTTGAAAAATGTTTCCTTTGGGAAATAGGAAACAAAGATGGGAAGGGTGGGACAGAACATTGTTGTTTTCGTTACAAGCCTTGCAGAACCACATAACATATGAAAAAGTAAATTTTTTAAAAAGGCAATGTATCAAGAAAGGAGAGGAATACATGCTCTGACACAATTAAACTGAGTTAGAAGCAGAAGCAAAAAAAAAAAAAAAAAAGGAAGAAGATAACTGCCTGTAGTTAGATGAGATGAATAGAGAGGTCATAAACACAGTTCACAGTATGGACATGGAGCAAGGTTAGTAAATGACAGTAGTTATAGAGATGTGGAGGGAAATAATGGAGGTAAAAAGGGAGTTGGAGTGGAATCTGGGACTCAGATCAGAACACTGTGTTTTGAAAAACCACCTTCATCAATTTTCTCTTCTGTAGGTCAGGTCTCTAAGCACCTAATTCCATTTCTCAAACAAAATGTTCCTTTTGTTCTATTCTAAATAACTTTATTAATAGAATAAAAATCATAATAATTAAGAGCAATTATTGAGGCAGTATTGTTGCTGCCCAAGTTGTCAGAAGACAGATGACCCTAAACATTTAAATGCTATAGAACTTTGCTGAAAATTCTGCCATTAGCAAATGAATGTGCTTATCTTTGCACATCCTGCTTCGCTACTCAAGATTGAGTAAAAGTCTGCAAGGCTTTGATGAGCATAATCAAAAACGCAAAGCCTAAACCTTCTAGGTGGATACAAGCTTTAAGAACTGGGTTTTAAGGACTTCAAAAGTGCAGATTAAAATCTCTAAATCCAGAATACAATTGATGGCTTTAAATATATCTTCAGAATGGAGATAATCATAATGTCTTACCTCATAAGGTCAGTGTCAGAGTTAAATGGGATTAAACATGAGAGAATTACCTGTCTCTCAAAGAACTTACCACTTTTATGGGGCCAGCAGGATGTGGTGGTTAAAGTGCTGGATCCCACGTGGTCAGCTTTACAATTTGACTCCCAAACTCAGCAACCTGAAAAATATGCTGGGCACTTGTGCATGCATGCCCAAAATCTTGACAAGAGAATGGAGGAGAAGGGACTGTTGCATGGCCATCTCCCCAGGGGGTACTTTTTCACTTTCCTTCTCTCTCTATCTCTCTCTGATGAGCACATGTGCTTTATGGTAAAAAAAATCTAAAAAGATAAAAGAATTTACCACTTCTACTTTCTTTGTGAACTATCTACCACCCTAATAAAAAGGCAAACTCCTTGCAGATAGATGGTGATGTTTTAACACTGTCCTTACTGTAAATCAGCCTCACAAGTATAATTTGTACCTAACTGCATCACTCACTCTGTGTCCTCAGGAAATCAGTATAATGATTGGTATATAATAGATGCAATGTGTGCTGGAGACAAATTCTGGCATTCAAGCATCCCCTACCCCCCAGCTGTAAGGTACTAGAATAAAATCTATCCAGCTCCTGGATAGATCTGTAGAAACTGAGAATGATTTTCCAGAACTTTTAGGAGGCCTGATTACCCCCTAACTATTCACTTGTCAAAAACCAGTGGGGAATGTTTCTCTTACCTCAAAACAAGCTAGATAGAAATTATATTCTTTCCTACCTGCTTATTTTGTTCCTTTTCTCTCTTCCCTTCCAATCTTTCTCTCTTTCTTTGGTTCTTTTCTTCCTTCTTACTCTTCCTCCAACCTCACCCCTGGTCTTTATTTATTTCCAGAAGTATAAATTTTTTTTGCCTGCTGTGTGTCCAGGACAGATCTGGATCAATAATCAGTAATGAAGTACTTAATTACAGAAACTTGTTTTTTCTGCTTTGATCTTCTGCAAGGCAGCAGAAAATTTTCCAGAACAGAAGGGGCAAGAGGGAGCGGGAAAGTCCCCTCCTTCCCACCACCATGAACTGAAGGCTTTCCTGCTCGCAAATATGCTGTATGGCTCTATTCAGACAAGGTAGTTTGGATCCACTTCAAACAAGCTGCCTATTGATGTTTGTGGCTTGATGTAGATTATGCTAGAGCTGCTGAAATGCAGTTCTTGGAGCAGCCAAAACAGAAATAAATTTGCAGTATTCTCTCACTCGAAAGTCAATAGATGTCCTAGAGGTATATGCCTAGCCAGCCAACTTTTTTCCTTTGTCAAGTGAACTCGTCAACATTTGCTTCCATCAACACAAGACATCTGCTTTGTCATCCCTATCAATTGGCATCATCCAGTTTCTGGATTAAAAGGTAAGAACTTTATCAGTCTTTAATGTGTCCTTGAAAAGTCACTGTGGGGAGAAGAAAGCTGGGACACTTTCCAGAATAAAAGCATTTCAGAAGAAATCATCCAGTGAGCACTTAGCTCCAGCCATTTCAGCCCTCGTGATATGCAGAGTGAAGTCCTAGGACAGGCTTGAGAACTGTGGGCAAGGGTTACAACTGTGCCCCACAAGGACAAAGGTGTCAGTGTAGTTAGAGGCAACATCCTAAAGTATGAAGGGCACCAGCACTGAAAATCTGTGCCGATGAAAATAGTGATTCCACCATTTACAAATGACCTTGAAAAATATTTTAAGAGACTTGATGCCTCTGAAAATTGGATAACTAGACAAGCTTACTTCAGAAGTTTCTTGTGAGGATTAAAATGTGATCATCTGTTGAAATTCCTTAGCAGACAAGCATAGAAGTAGCACTCCTTGAAAGTTAACCATTATGATAGAGACTGGCCAAGTGCTGAGGACCTATCTTTTCTCCCTCTATGCAAATAAGAAGACTATCTTTCCCATGCTTCCTCAGAATCAAGGCTAGGCTAAATGAGCTCCTCTGACCAATGGACTGTGGTAGATATATATGCTACTACTGGGCCTAATGATAAAATAGTGCATAGTGTATGGAATGGTGTCCCTAAAATACACATCCAAGTCCTACCTTCTAGAACTTGTAAAGAGGACTTATCTGAAAAGGATTTTTTTCTGTAGATATAAATAAATTAAGCATCAGAAGATGAGCTCATTCCGGATTTAGAGTGAGCCCTAAATCCAATAACAAAACTCCTTGTGAAAGAAAAGAAAAAAAGAAGAAGTAGAAGATAACACACATACAGAGACATGCAGACATGGAGAAGATACTCATGTGAAAATGGATGTAGAGATTACAGTTATGTGTCTATAAACCAAGGAATGCTGAGGACTACTGACACCAATCAGAATCTATGCAGGAGGTAAGGCCTGTAACCGATTTCACTTAGAGCCTCTAGAAGGAACCAACCCTGCTGACACCTTGATTTTGAACTTTTCTGGCCTCCAGAGCTGAGAAACAACAAGTTCTATTTTTTAGCCACCTGGATTGTAACAATTTGTTATGACAGCCCTGGGTAACAGGTACACCATCTAATCATTCAAGCCTTTTCTCTCAGAAGCAAGTGAACCAAATAGACAATCACCAAAGAGATGGAGCCCACATTCCCAAGGCACTCCTGGGTAGAGAGTGGTGAGGTGCTCACCAGGCTTCGTAGGATAGAGAACACACTTCTTGTGTATTAATCCTCTGAGTCATGGGGGTTGAGTGTCATAGCAGCTAGCACTAACTACCCTGAGCAATACAACTATTAGGGTGATGGGGAAATCATGACATATTTTTCTGTTTTTCTATAAAATAAAAAAAAAATGTGTCGTGACTTTCCCAAAGACTCAGTATTATTTACTAAAGGATCTAAAGTAGAGATCTAGCTGAGACAAAAAGGAAAAGCCACTGGAACAGCAGGAAAGCTAGAGAAAAAAGTAAATAGTTCAGCCATTCACTCTCAGTGGGATATCAAGCCTGGACCTTTCTAGTGGATTTGGGTCCAGGATAGTGATCTACACAAAGTCCTGCTAGCCCCACTTTATCCCTACAGCTTACTGGAGTTACTGTTGACTCGGGGACCAATTTAGAGTTTTTATTACAAACAGACTGGAAGAATCCTTGAACTTCATGGAAAAACACTGACCTAATGTCCTGGGGAGACTTCAAACTGAGAATGAGTGTAGTCGCAGGCCAGAGGGAGCCAAGCACACACAGGACTGCTTCATTCCAGAGGGGACATTCAGGTTAAAGCAAGATAAAGATGATGTAGTCTATCTAGAAGGTAACTCAGCTTGCTAGGTTACCCACTAAGAAAACTGAGGAATCATAGCCTGGGGCTCAAAAACTGTAGGTAAAAAAGATAGAAGAGACTCTGACATTTCTGAGGGTCCACAGTGCAATCGGTCTCATCCCAAACTGAATATATTTTACTTTGAGGTAAGTAGGAGTGGATCAAACACAGGAGTTATGCTTGGGAAGTTAGGACTATTTTTAGTATGGTCTGGAGGGTAAAGATGTGGAGGGAGCCTCAACAAGGAACAGGACATTGAACATCTGAAAGAAGTAGAGAAAACTGGTAGTGGGTAACATCACTCAGAGAGAGGGATGGGTGTGCCTGCTTAGAGAACACATCCCTGTTTTTTGTTTCATTTTTGTTTTAAATATTTTTTTAAATTTATTTATCTCTATTTTCCATGAGCAAGAGACACAGAGAAAGAGACAGCACCCTCAACAGAGTCTTAATCCTATGATCTACCCCCAACTTCAGCCAACCCCGGATCATGGCCAAGCACCTGCCTGCATACTTTGAGCAGTCTCCAGATGTGAGTCTGGAATCTTCTGTGAGGGATTTCCTCACAGAGCATCACATTTTACCACTGAGCCAGCGTTTGGCCCAACGTATCCCTGTGTTAACCGGAAATGCAGAAGCAGATCCCAGACAACCACCTATCCCAGAGAGCTAAGCACTAAGTCATAACATACAGATGAAGAAAGCGCATCCTGGGGCCAGCAGGTGGCATAGTGGTTAAGGCACTGAACTCCCACATAGCTGACTGCAGTTCAAATCCCAGATCTGGCAGCTTGAAACACACCAGGTACATGTGTATCCCCGCCCAAAATCCTGAGAGGGGAATGGAGAAGAAGGGATTGTGGTGTTGCCATACCCCTGAGGGGCAATTTCTCAGTTTTTCTCTCTCTCTGTTCCTCTCCAGCAAGCACAGCCCCCTACAGCAAAAAAAATCTCTCAAAAAAATAAATAAATAAAAAAGAAACCAACATCCCTGAAACACCTAAAAGAGCAGAGGAATGCTCCCATGCAATTCCCAAGAAACTAGCAGAGAATTTTGTGGTTGGTATCCCCTTGATCAAGTAAGTGTGGCTGATGCAAAAATTCGATGTTTGTTTCACATATTGTGGTCTTTGTTCTTGGACTCTCCTTTCTCCTCCTTCCCATTTCTTCAACCATTCCACAGAAGTCTCAAGCTTTCCATCCCACACATGGTAACCTTTCTACTTCTCAAGAATACATTTCCTTTTTTATAAATGTGAGCTCCTCTGTAATCCCTCTTGCATTCCTCTCTTGTGCTCTTATTTTCCTTCTCATATTTTTCTTCTCTCCCTCTTACAGGGAATATTTTCCTTCAAAGAAGGAAAACAACTCCTTTTACTCACCAGAGAGAAAGAGAAAGGAAAAGAGAGAAGAAAAATGAGAAAGTACCCCCTTAAGGGAATGACCAACCACAATGCCGCCTACACTCTCCTCTCAAGATTCTGAGCATTGGGAACCAGCAGTTGGCGTAATGGCTATGTCGCTGGACTCCCACGTAGTCGACCGCGGTTCGTGTCCCGGACCCGGTGGCTTAAAACTCATGCCGGGCGCGTGTGCATGCGTGCCCAAGATCCCAAGAGGAGAATGGAGGAGAAGGGATTGCGGCGTGACCATCCCCCCTGGGGGGTGATTTCTCGCTTTCTGTCTCTATGTCTCTCTCTGTCTGTCTGGCGAGCGCATGTGCCCTACAGTGAAAATCTCTCAAAAAAAAAAAAAAGATTCTGAGCATGCATGCATACACACCTGGCATATTTTTTTACCTCGCTGGGTGAGGACTAGGACTTAAACCACAGCACTCAGCCATGCAGAATCCAACCAGCTTAATCACCATGCTACCACCTGGCCCTGGCAAGCAACTCCTGATGGATAAAAAACTAAATCAAGTCTCCCTTATTTTGATCTCAAGAAGCTAATTTCTTAATAATAAGAAAAAAATAATAGGATGTAAAAAAATGGGATGTAAACAAAATGCATGGACCATATGGTCAAAATCTTTGGAACATAGAGTTTCAGATAAAAATATCCACACATATTCTTACCATCTATCTTGGGCTGGGTTCCCCCAGAAGCAACCTTGAGACCTGGATTTAAATGCAAGGGATTTATTTAGGAGGTTATCCTAGGGGGGACCTTAGGAGGGAAGTAGAGATGTGTTTCAGGAAGGGAGCAAAGTTGATAGAATGTGCCCTCAAACAGGTTACCATGTATGACCGAGGCTTGCCCCACTAGAGAATTCTGGGAGGCAGGAGGAATTTTGCCTAAGGAGCAAGGAAACCAGGTCAGTTACCTCTCAGTCCCACCAAACACTTTCTAAGGACTGTGCTAAAAAAGCAGCAATGCTGGTCACATTCTTCTGCCATGCAGGCAGGAGAAGCATCAGCACTAACTGGAAGGAAAAGGTGCTGAGAGAGGTGGGCAGGCACAGAGTCCATCTGCTGCCACAGCACTCACAAGTCCCCAGGTCACACCACACAGAAGTGAACAGGTGCCAATTGTCCAGGGAACTCAGGCCACATGCCTGCCCATCTGCCTAGTTTAGGCCACAAAAGATTGTCCACATGGCAGAGACTGTGCACTACCCAACTATACCCATCCTCCCAGTCACCCAGAGTCTGTCTCCTTTCTGCAGTTGGTTATGGGCACCATGGTGACCCACCTTAAATCACAGGGAAGAGGGCAGAACCCTAAGAATGGCTGAACAAGATGAAAAATTATTCCTGAAGCTGCTGCAACAGCCCTGGATATTCTGTACTCAAATTTACAGAGGAGACAAAGAAATCCTCTTTTTGAAGCCAGTGTTGTCATTTGGGGTGTTAAAGCTTCAATCCTACCTTTCACATTACTTTTCCTCCACTCTTCTGAAATTTGGACTTAAATGGGGATGAAGCAGACCACTATTTGTTTGCTTCTAATCTTTCTTGCACTTTCATTTCCAGGTAATTTAAGCAAATAATTGGACAATCTAGCCAGTAAGGAGTACTATGGGGACTGGTGAAGAAAGGCAGTTTTGTGTCTTTGACAGAAAGCTGTGAACTGGTTACACCAACCTTGTTGGAGGATTAAGCTTCATCATGATATTCTCTGCCTGGGCCTCGCTGTGCCATCATGGACACCCATTCCATTTCTCAGAGCTCTGCTTGTTTATAAGTGCAGGGTTGGTGATCCCTGAGGTAGCTTGCAGCACTAACGCTCCATGATTTATGAACATGGAGACACATAAGGAAGCCATAAATGGGGATAAGAGAAGCCGAGTAAATGAGAGCTGAGCATATACAAGGGAGCTACAAAATGTCTTTGTTCATTTAGACCCAGAAATCACAAATGCTGAGCTCAGCACTCCACAGACATCCCATGGAGTTCCTCACCATCACACACCCACCTCAGAGGTTATCAAATCAATATAACACACCGCTTCCTGCTTTACCACCCCACTGTCCCTTTACACCAGGAGGATGGGCAGAAGCTCTCATCCTTGGCTTGGAGTCTGGTTGCAATGGAGGACAGGGATGCTGGCAGAATATTAGCAGCAGAGATACCAATGGTGCAGAGGCTGCAGTGCTCCCTCTCAGTTGGCCGCTCTGCAATGGCAAAGCCATCACATGGCCGCTAAATTTATTGGTCTGGCTCAATGCCCTGGTGTTGCAGAGGCTGCTGGCTTGGTTGCAAACAAATCACACAAAAGAGCCTGAGCTACAACTGAACCAGAGCAAATCTGTGGTGACAGGCACTCTGGCCACAGGCCAGCCTCCAAAACTCTCTCCCACCATTGTCTGGCCACTTCAGCTGCAGATGCCATAATGCTACTGGCTGGCTACACCTATCAGCCTCCCTATCTGAGGGAGAATGGGGTTCCCATGGAGACTATGGGTGTGAAGATATTGATGCAGTTCTATTCTCAGAGACCAGGGTTGCTGACACAGTGATATAGTCTCAATCTAACCACTGCACTACAGTTTTGAAGTACAACAGAGATTTATTCAACCCCTCCTTTGTATCTGCACCATTTTAATACAGAGAGGTTCACTGTGATCTCCCATCTCAAGTGATTCCCCATCAGTTAGAGTGATAAAAATTAACACATATAGGACTAGCCCATAGCCTAGTGGTTAAGGGATCTGAATCCCACATAGCCAACCACTGTTTGAGTCATGCTCCTGACAGCTTGATACATGCCAGGTATATGTATGTGCATACTCAAACTCCTGACAGGAAGCAGAAATAAAGGAGAAGGAATAGTGACATGACCACACCCCACGGGAGAGTGCTTTCTCCCTCTCCTTCTCTCTGTCTCTGTGCCTCTCTTTGGTGAGTGCACATGCCCTCCAGCAATTAGAAAAATTAACATATGTATAATAGTTAAACTACAATATATACCAAGTATTAAGGTACAAGAGACATGGCACAGAAACTACAAATGTATTAGTTTTCTGTTGCTGCTGTAACAAGTTACCATAACCCTACTAGTTTCAAAGAACATCAATTTCCTGTTACAGTTCTAGGGGTCGGAAATGCAAAATGAGTCTTAGAAGGTAGAATTAAAGTTTTAGTGGGGCTGTGTTTCTCCTGGAAATGTCCTTAAAAATCTATTACCTTGTTGTTTTTCCAGCTTTCTAAATGTTGCCTGATTTCCTCAGCTCATGGTCCTCCCTCCCTTCTCACAGCATCTCACTCCAACCTCAAACTGTCATCACAACTTCTTTCCTGACACCTATCCTCTTGCTTATTTCTTATAAAGACCTCTGTGGTTACACTGGACCCACTCAGCCAAGCCAGGACAATCTCGAAATCTTCAATTTAATCACACCCATACACTCCCTTTGGGCATAGAAGGTAACATATGAGATCAATGCATTATAGGGATTAGGACATGGACATTGGACATCTCTGGAAGCCTGTATTCTATATACCATCACCTTGACTGGAATTCAGATGCAGGAGGATCTCTAAGGACTTTGGTCATTAATAGGCATGATGAGGGTCACAAAGGTTGAGCCCAACAGCACCTGTGTGCTAGGAAGCACCATGTGATGAGTTGCAGACACCCTGGTGTTCAGTGCCTCATACTGGTGATACGGTAGTCAGAAACTTCAGGCTCTCAAGTCACACCCAGAGGAAAAATTCAGCCTCAGGCTCTACTAGCTGAATGACACCCAGAGTGTTCCTCTACCTCTCTGAGCCTTAGTTTCCTCATCTGTAAAATGGGAAAAACATAAATTCTCTGTAATACAATTAAGATAAAATAAAATAAAATAAAATAAAATAAAATAAAATAAAATAAAATAAAATAAAATGTGTAAAGTGCTTATTATCTTGCCATAACCTGACACAGGAAGAATTCTAGACAGGTGGTCTTTTTAATTTCTCCCTGACACCTGTGGGCTGTTTTGTTTGTTTTGTTTTTTTATGAAGCAGGAGATTAAGGCTGTGGAAGCTGCAATTCTTTCCCAGGACAGCTGTAGTGTTAGTATTTGAATCAGGGCCATAATCTGGGTAGGCTAACAAGTCCAGGGAAGCCTACTCCCCACAGCAGGGCTAAGTTGACAGAAGGAGCTACATTCTGTGTAGAAAGAATGACAAGGCAAACGTATCATAAGTAGGTTCCTGTACTTGTAGTATTCAGGTGCAGGTTGACCT